AAATTTTAAAAACATTTCTCTTAAAATTACTCATGGTTTCTTTTGTGTTAAAATTATTCACCATGTTCCAGTGGAGGGTGCATTAAGATGTCAGAAACCAGACTTCGCGAATCATTTCTCTTGCTTTCAAATTGATGAGCTAATTTCTCTCACTCAATTCTGTTTGAAACAAACGCATTTTGTTTTCCAAAATAAATATTACAATTAAACTGAGGGATTAGCCATGGGAAGCCCCCTCAGTCACATCCTGGCTGATATCTACATGCATTATTTATGAATCAAAATTGTTTTATACTTTAAACTTGCCGGTATGGTTCCGCTACGTAGACGATACTTTTACCCTGTTTGAAGGCAATAAAGATGATTTAAATAAAGTTCTTTCAACAATGAATTCCACTGATACTGCTATTCAGTTCACTTCTGAACTTGAGACTTGCAATTCTCTTCCGTTTCTCGACATTCTGGTCACACGTAACACATCCAACTTTAGTACTACGGTTTACCGTAAACCTTTCATCGGTTTGACTTCCACCACACTTCAAATCATGTCCTCCATAATAGTTAGTTAAACAACAATAGTTAGCCAATAGTTCTATTCCTATGTTTTCCGTGCTCTTCAAGTTTGCTCCTCCAAACCATTCCTTGATGAAGAACTAAATTATTTAAAAGCAATAGCTATTGATAGGGGCCTTTCACCCAACATTATTAATGAAGCAGTTAAACAATTCTCATCTCAACACACCAAAAGGCACACTCTTGTTTTAGGAGATTATAAAAATTCTGTGTCATTCACTTCTTTCCATCAATTAGTTATAAGGTTGCACGTATTTTGCAGAAATTTAACTTTCGGGTCGTTTATTCTTCCATCAATAAAATTCCGAGTTCCATACTCAAGGACTCAATTCCAGATATGAATTTCTGGGGTATTTACAGAATTCCTTGCCAGTGTGGCTTAATTTACACTGGCCAAACTAAGCGAGCCTTAAAATTTCGCGTTAAGGAACATGAGGCATATGTTAGAGGAAAGGAAACACAAAAGTCTTCTGTTGCCCAATATTGTTGGTCCGAAAATCCCACTTTCAATTTTTCTGCTGCCAAATTATTCAAAAAACATCTTCCATTGGTGAACTGGATTTTCTAGAGGCATTTCACATTTAAAAATATCTTTCTGTTCTAGTTAACGACCCTAATTCCAATCCATCTTTGCCTTCAGCCTTTAAAGAAATTATGTTTTAGTTCTGGCTTCATCAACAGATGGCGCCAGTGGCTTATCTCCTGTCCATGCTTTCTTATCTTATGTAATCATTATATCTTATCTCGTTCATTTGCGCTTTTGCAGCTCAGGATGATGGTTCGGTAAAACCATCGAAACTAGTCCTGTGAAAATTTGAAGATATGACTCTGATTTTTGTTGTTTAACTTCTAAATTAATATTTGTTCCGCGTGTTATTGCATCTTAATTCTATTATTGTGTTTGAAATTTTTCGCCCCTTAAGTTTGTTACTTTTGTGAATCCAGTTCGGAATCCAATTCCAGTTTTTCGATAGTATACTTTGCCTGATGAAAATTCCGATTACAAAATAATAGCTGTTTGGAAATACCATTGTCGGTGGTCAAACTGTAGAACTGAGAAGTTGTGTGTTTTTCTCAATTCTGTTTTGAATAATTTCTCCAAAGCACTGAATCAGTTCGTGTTGTGTTGTTTTATACAAACAGCATTATGACGCTTTGTCCTCAAATGCTCTTCAAGAATCTTTTGCATCCACCCTTTAACTCATTTTTTCTATTAAACTTAAGAATTTTTTTTATTACGGGTTCATCACCATCATCGTAATTAAAAAAATGGATTTGTAGTAACAAAGACCTCTTAAAGGGATATTTTTCACACGGCTAAATGTTATAGTTTTCAAGATTGGTATTAATTTTTGTGTTTTGCTTTAAATTCTTCTTTGTTTAGCACTATCTAACGCCGTCTCAACATTTACAGTCAAAAGTCGTTCCGGCGAGTCTTATCGATTTTTCCGGATTATAGATCATCAGCTTAAATCTGGTAAGATGGCATGCAGAAATTATAAAATTAAAAATATGAAACCGTAATTTATGAAATAAAGAATAATTATGATCTAAAGGGTATCAAAATTTACAAAAAAAAAAAAGCTTAATATTTATTGTTTACTTTATTAAACATTTCTTTCAATGTAAGTTGTTTAACTTGCTTCGTTTTTGTGATAATACTTTCTCTTTAATTCTATAAACAGACATAATTTCTTCTTTTAAAGTTCCGCTGTTCAGTCCTATAATTGCTGTGTTGAGAATACGACTAATTTGTCAATCGAAATTTTTTCATTTTCAATAACCTCTGTGTCACTTTCTTCTTATCGGAAGCGAATTATAATGACGAGGAATTTGATTTAAATCATATCAAAGAGGGAGTACATCTAGATGAAATACTACATTTAGTAAGGAATTAAAAGTCAAATAAAATAAAAACATCTGCCCTGAAGATAAAGATAGTGCTAACAGATTAACTTCCAATTCATTGCGCGCTGCGGCGTTTCCCCCTCCCCACCGCCGCAGAGCAGCGTGAAATTGATAAACAGATTTCGGAATTGTTAGAGTAACGAAGGCTATGCCTTTATCCCTTTTTTGCAGCAATTCCACTTTTTGTTTAATGGACTTCGAAACATACATTCGCTTTGTAGATCCTTTACATATTAGTAAATATATATCGGAAATTCTATTTGACATAATCGAAAGTTCAAGCTTACTTTTATAAAATTGCTCTAACAGTCTGCAAAAAATAATGAGCTGGATCCAATTCGAAGATTAAGGAACAACGCAATCTGCAACATTAACTGAATTAGATAATTTTAGCTTAGCTTATACCGTCCGTTATACATTAAACGCGCAAGCGTAAACGTATTATGCGCATGCGCACACGCATATTCGCAGCCGTAAAGGTCTTACGCGCATGCGTCGCATGCGACGAAAGTTTGTAGCTTTGAGGTCCGGATTATAGATCATTCCGGATTATGGGTGTCCGAATTAACGACTTTTGACTGTATTTTTTACCCTCAACGTTATCCACGAAATTATAGATTTTAATGCAATGTTTTTTTTCCGCTCTAAATTTCTTCGCCTTACGGACCCATCTTTAATCTTAGTTCCCAACGTCCCCATGAAGCGTGCGCAAAGGTTTTTACGACTGGGAGTTGTTTATATTTATCTCTATCCCTCCTTTCTCATATATGTGGCTCCTTCTACTTGCAATAAGTAAACAACTACAATTTTCTTATTTCTGCTCACTTTATTTAATTCTGATGAGGAGGTAAATGGTTTTAAACCATAGGCACTTCGTAATATGAAATCATTGGCATTGATAAAAGCGAGTCATTCACTGGTTCCCAACGAAGCTGTCGTACGACTCCCTACGACTGGGAAAAGCGAGTCATTCACACCCATATCACACGGCGTTTATTTCACACGAACAACTGTTTCGGACAATTTTTCTGCCTGGTTTACTACTGAAAGAAAGACGTGCGTTTTCAACCAATCTGCTACCAGCTTGTTTGTGACGGGGAACCAGTTTCCCCTGTGTTAACCCCAAAGCGAACTATGGTGATTGGGTGTTATGACAAAGCAGAAAAATTGTTCGAAACAGTTGTTCTTCCGAAACAAACCGACGTGTGATAGCAGCTTAAGCTGCCGCTCGATGGAATATTATTTGAGATTGTTCCTTTGCATACATTTAAAAGAAAGGGGGAGGAATATTCATAGGTTTTTGAAGATAAAAATGATTTTGACGATTTGGATTATTTATATTTCTTGGTTCCATGTCACCACCTTTCCTTTTCCACTTATTTCTTTGTTCCACAATCTTTGGCTACTGTTATCACAATTAAGTACATCCATTGACAGTAAAACTGCGAGTTTATGGAAAACATTTTTTTCCGCTTCGTCTACAGCCCATAGAATTAAAGATTTCTCTCCTTGGCTTCCTTAAAGAAGTCGCTTTTCTCTATTATCAAGTAGTTTCTGAACGGCCGCCCAGTCGGTCTAGTGGTCAGGGAATCTGACTGCGATGCCGAAGGGCCTGGGTTCGAATCCCGGAGAAGGCATGGTTGTAACTGTCCGCCCCTTCATAGGAAAGGCGATGGTGGCCCACCTATTAGGTGCTTCTATAAAAAGAGACCACCCAATCCGGCCTTATATAGATTAATGGACTGGATTACATTTGTAATTGTTCACAATCTGCCATTGGGGGGGCGAAGTAGTTTCTGAACGTACGGAAACCAACTCCTCTTCTTTAATTTTAATCGTGAAACACTTGTAAGGAATTATTTATAAGTAGTGCAAAACACGTTACAAAAAAAAAAAAAAAAAAAAAAAAAACATTAAAAACAACGATAATATCATTTACCACCGTAATTTAATTGCCATTTTAAACTTTAAAGTCACAAATTCGGTAAAGAAATGCATTTGGCAATGGATTGCAGGAAGTAAGTTTAAAATATGATGTCTAGGTGTTCAGGGGTTTTTATTCAAATATAGGAAAGATCTATAATTGATTCTTTACAATTCTCTGCCGCTAAAGAGCATTTATTTTCAACACATAGTCCTTATACCAGCGATTTAAGAGTTATGCAATTATTTCTTAAAGTAATGGATATAAATTTCTTCAAACATATTAAGTTGAGGGCTTGTAAAAATATGAAAGGAGCCTAATCTAGAGTTTATTTTACCCTTCCTTACTGAAACTCCCATCTGAAATTGCGTAATATACACATTAACTTGAGGATCTACCCACTTCCATCCAATTTCATATACTCACCCAAGACTCTTGATACGTTTTTACAAAACTTAGCGTTTTCTAATAGAAAAAAAACAACGGTAGATAAAGATAGTGCAAACAATAGTTGAACAATTTGTTCTTAAATTAAGTTAGGTAATACATACCTAGGATAGTAAATAATGTTGCATGAAATTTACAGAGCATTATACATTCACAGGCTGGATTAATTTTATACTCCGTTTATCATATCACGTCCACCCCTGAATATTGGGCTTTACCTGCTTGGAACTTGGCCAATATCTTGACCGTGTGCCGTCTAAGTTGTGTCTAGCGATCGCCGGTGAGAGAGCAAGTAGTGAGGTTTTTTGTGTGAAAGCCAGAATTTCAGGTAAGAATAATGATATTAGAAAGAACTGTCATTGTCATTGTGAACTTCTTTTGCCTGACCATGTGTATAAATCGTCATATCGTGACAAAATTGTGTAGAAGTTTTCCTTTCGTTTCAGTTTTACATTCAATTTCATGTGTTTTGGATGTAGATACCTGCTTATATTCATGTTTATGTTTCATACCTTTAGTATGTCATTTGAGAATTATTGTTATGTTTAAAATATGGTACTAAAAGTATGTTAAATTTTCGGTTTTTTTATATGTGTACCAATTTCATGATTAACTAATTAGCAGTAAAAACCGTCCTGTCATCCCTTCTGCTCTGATGATTCTCATATTCAATGCTAGTTAAATTTACATAATTAAACGAAAATTATTATAGAAGAATATATTTCTTAAATATATGCATTGCTGCGTGTAAGTGTAAGGCAAAGGGGCAATTTAAATAGCTGATGGATAGGTTTTTCAATAAAGTGCATGCAGGAAAATCGAAAAAAATTCGTGTAAATTCAGTTATAAAATTTGTCAGATGCATTGTTGCATAATAATCATAGAGTTCCCAGTGTTAGTTTATGATCTTATTCTTATGGATAAACGTACACTATGTGTATAAATGATTTTGAGAGCTTTTAATGAAGGTGCAAGTAAAATAGTTTTAGTAAACATTGAAACTAAGCCCAAAACACTATTTTCTTTGTTATGAACATAATACATTCCTCAAGCACTGTCTTATTCTGTTTGTTGTATTTGTGTAATATATGCAGCATTTATTTTATTACTATAGTGCATGTATATTTTGTTAGAAAATACGAAATATAAGTGCTAGTCATCATTATGGTCATCATAAGATCAGTTGGTTTGTTTTTTAATAAAAGTACATGTAACGTTTTCAAAATATGGAAATTTATCTACAAAAAATACTTAAGCTTTCTAAAGCTATATGTAAAAGAACACTTTTGTAGCCGAGACGGTATGGTGGTTAGGGGAGCATACTGTGGTAACGAAGGGCTTGGGTCCGAATCCTGGAGAAGACATAGATGTTTGTAAATGTATAGTGTCCTCGTGGCATGGAGGCACTCTACATATAGGGACATAAGTCCTCTCATATGGTTTGATCTTTCAAAATTGGGGTGGAAAGTAGAAGTCCAACCTCTCTTTGGAGTAGGCTCTGGCAACCATTCTTCCATGTAATGTGGACACGACAACAACAAGTTTGGAAGGGACAGTTTTGAGGAAAGAATAACACAGATGCATTATCTTTCATTAAAACTTTAAATGAAATATGAGCCGAACAGTTATCTACAATCAGGAGAATTTTTGCATCAGGTAAACGAACCGAATTCAATTTTTATTGAGCCTCGGATATGAAATGATTTTCAAAGCAATCATACATTAATGCTTGTGTCATTCGGGCTGCTTTATTTGCGTGATATATAACAAGAAAATATTTACTCCTTTAAATGTTTGAGGTCGTGTATTTTTCCTGATTACGTAAAGCTTACACTTGTGCATTCCTGCAGCATTTGCGAATGCTAAAATTGTTAGTCTAGCTTTGGAATCTTTGACACCAGTTGGAGCCTTTTCTGTAGAGTTTGCTAAGATATTTCCCGATACATATTGCCAGAAAAGACAACTTTCATCATTATTGTAAATCTGTGCTGGAGATAATGTTTCACTATTTATTGAAGCGAGGTGTGCGTAGTTCATAGATTCTTTCGCTGCCTAGATTGTGCAATTTGTAGATTTTTTTTTAAAATCCAGAAGCATTTTTTTTTAAAACATATAGCTGGGTACATGGATTCGTGTCAAATATTTTTGGTTATAAACTACGTTTTTGCTATCTAAATGTTTTGATTTTGTTTCGGATTTTTAGCTTAAATTGTGTGTTCAAAACATGGTTTTTGCCTGTGCGAAAACTGCGTTTTTGGAGACATTTTAGGCTAAAAGTTCAAAATGTAGCCAAAACATTTAGATAATAATATGGCACCGTGTTGGCGAGAAATTTGGCGGCCTGAGGGTGTATATAAGAGTAGTTTCAAATTTTTAATTGCATACGATGGCAATTTTAAAATTTAGTCAACCAATCTGTCAAATATGTACACTCAGTTTTTAAGTTCATTTCTTCAGGAAATATTTTGGCGTGAGCCATTAGCATTCTATCTGTCAATGGCAATAAAAAAATTGGTTAGAGTTGACTTTAAGGTACCCCTGGTATTAATGCAAAGTTGTTGTTTCATGTATCACCAAGTTGTTGTTTCATGTATCACCAAGTTGTTGTTTCGTATATCGCCACGTTGTTATATCATTTATGGTAACCTGAGTAGTTGAATGTTATAGAAACCCTATTATGACGTAATCGTTTGCGTTATTCTGGGAAATTTTTAATCTTGCGATGTTTTGTAAAGGCTTTTGTGGTGTGTTGCTGAGAAAGTATATTGCTTGTTTCATTGTTTAGATGGTACAATGGCTGAATATAGTAGGATTAATTTGAAGTTTCGGTGAATCCTTATGGTAACTGGTGGCGACCACCCTGCTCAGCACCTGCTCGTTGTTTTGGACGCCATTTTTTTTCACAAAGTAACGGCTTTTTTTTTTTTTTTACTCAGATTTTCCAACAATCTGCTAGCCGAATACGCTTAACTAGACTTTTTGGAACAAAATGCTTATCTGACCAGATTAGGTGCGCATTGGGAGAAAGTGCCAGAATCGTAAACTGCTTGCTTGCCGTTTTTAAGGATTGCACATACACGGTATCATGTACATGTCGACCTATTTTCACTAAAAAAAATCTCAGAATTGCACAAAACGCATTGTGCCACTCTTTCTATTTCCATCGACCTATTTCCTTAAAGTAGTCCTAGTTAGTAACCTTTAATCGCTACCAAATGTCGCAAATTACCGGTACATTCTACAGATGACCCCTTGCTTTGCCATAATTAAAAACCAAACCAACATTACCCGTCATTTGCTGTTTCCTTTCTCCACATCGTACAGAACTTCGGCGGAAACTACTCTGATATGCGCCCTCAAGTCGTCAAATTTCTTGCCAAATATTTTTGGCGAGAACCTCTGCTGCCATATTACTATCTACATTTCGTTGATCTTACAATATGGTAACTGGTAGTTTGGCAAATTTTTGAGGCGATAAAGGTTACTACTGGATTTGGTAATAATGTGAGCAGTACTCAGTTCCGATTACGCATTATTTTGTGTGAGGGAAATGGAGATCATGGGATATGTCATGTGATAATTAATGGACGAATTACGGTTCTTTAAATCGGAAAAGGGGAGAAATCGGGAAAAATCTGGAACTTTGTATTTGGTTATTCTGTGTTGTGTGAAACAGTGTTCGTGAATTTTTGGATCCCATGGCTGTAACTAAAGTGAATTGAAATGGGTATTATTTATGTATTATATTTATGCATGTCTCATTTATATTTTAAGTATGTTTTTGAATTTATGTTTTAATTAAATGATACTTATTTTGTGAATTTTATGTTGTAGAATTTGGTATACGTTTTAGTGAAGTAAACGTGCATGGAAATAATTTAAATATTTGATACTAAGTATTGTAATGCTTGCAGTATGAATTGTTGGTGACGTGATAATGTAATAGATGATTTAGAGGTAAATTTTTGGATATTTTATTTATTTTATATGTGGAAATGTTCATATTTGGAAAGGGTAATACTTTTTCGCGATGAGGTAATTTCATATATTTTCTTTTTACCGGGTTTAAAGATTGAGAAAATTGTCATGTATTTTCGTGAAATTTTCTAATTTATGAGAAAAAAGCAGTGTACTGGGTATAGTGAAGAGTATGCGCAATGCCATTTTTGTGCAATTCTGGGATGTTTTTTTTAAGTAAAAATAAGTCGGGCGTGTACATGGTTATTATGTGTATGTGTTATTTTGAAAAACGCGTAAGGAGTATGGTATTGTACACTTTTTCCCAATTTTTGCAGTGAATATTTGTCATGATTAGCAGTTTTGTTAGATAAAATTTCTAGCATAAGTGTAATTCGGCTAGTAGATTGTTGGAAGAAGTGTTCAGTAGATAAAAAGAAAAACACATGTCTTTACTTACTTCGTGAAGACAAAATGGCGGTGGGAAAAAAAAATAGAGGGTTGCTGTAGGGAGAGTTGGTCGCCAAAAAAACCCAAGTTACTATGTAAAGATCAACCTAATTTTTTGTCTACATTTTGAACTTTAAAGCCTAAAATGTCCCAAACAACACGGTTTTCCGCCATGCAAACTACGTTTTGAACACACGATTTAAGCGAAAAATCCAAAACAAAAACAAAAAATGGCACTTTTCTGTTTTGCCGGCGTAAACGATAAAGTTGCCAATAATGGTACAACCGATGCCAAACGGAATATCTTTGCTTGTAACCTTTAATGCTTTATTTTCAAAACAAGTCGCAGCCATTTCTTACCAGATTGATTTTTTTTTTTCAATACTGGCATCCAATTACATAGAATACTTACAAAGATAATTAAATTTTATGCCCTAATACCATGCGGCAATTAAGTCAATTAGGATGCAATCACACTTCTCACCCGAAGGCGAAAATATAGAAAAGACAAAATGAAGGGTTTAATTTGTCCATTCTAATGCGAATGCACTAGCGAAGTAAAGCACTGCGGTTTTATATAATTTATGAGTAAGCTAATCGTATAAATTGAATTAATTCTTGCATTTAAACTTGTATTCCAAATTAATATCTAACTTGAAATGAGTGTAGATAATTACTGGAGAATTAGATTTTGTAGCGTATTTACGTGAGATCCTTGGGGTCACGTGATACGAACGGTAATCAGGATGTTAACCATGATAGCATAGTAAATTCTTAAATTAATGTCTTTTTAAAAATGTTTTATTGGCTTTTTACAAAATTTTAAACCATTTAAAATGCTTATGCCTTCAAAATAAAAAATTCTTAGAAACACTTTGTTAACTTTTTTATGTGTATACTGTATGTTGTCGCAAAAAGTCT